AGACTAACTAAGAAGAGAGTACTTTACAAGTGAGAAGAGAAGAGAGAAAATGGCATTGCCAAGGTACGTCGTTCTAAAATCAAAATACAACAACAAATATTTACGCTACATTCATGAAGATACGCAAGTGCATGGATTTCTCCAATTCTCTGGAGATGAGGTTGTAAGTCCCTATTCAAAGTTTGAAGTAGAGCCTTCTAAGACTGCAAGTGGACTGGTACACTTGCGGTGTTGTTACAACAACAAATATTGGGTTAGGTGGTCCAAAAATCATTGGTGGATTATTTGTGGTGCTGACCAACATAATGAAAATCAATCTGACTGGTCTTGCACATTGTTTCAACCCATTTTCATAGATGGCGATTCTAAAAAGCTTCGATTTCTCCATGTTCAACTTAAACATTATTGCTCCTTGTGGAGGTTAGATCCACCCTTCGGTGATTGTTTGTTTGCAGGCTATGATCATCCTGAAGAGTATGAGTGTGATATTTGCATAATTGTTGATTGGGAGTCATTGTTAATATTGCCCAAACATGTCGCTTTTAAGGGTGACAATGGTCAATATCTTAGTGCTCGTTGGATCGAAGGACATCCATATCACCAGTATGCATCTAACGATATTGGAGATCCAACAGTTGGTTATGAGATTTTCACAACCAACGATGGAAGCATTCGCGTGAAATCTGATTACTTTGGTAAATTTTGGAGGCGTAGTCCAAATTGGATATGGGCCGACACAACAGACACTAGCAACAACAACTGCGACACATTATTTTGGCCAGTTAAAGTTTCTAGCAATGTTGTTGCTCTTCAAAATTTGGGTAACAACCACTTTTGCAAAAGACTCACAACTGAAGGTAAAATAGATTGTCTCAATGCTGGGGTCTCAACTATTTCTAGGGAGGCTCGAATGGAGATTTCAGAGCTTGTCATTTCACGACAAATTTATAATGTCAATTTTCGCCTCCTTGATGCTCGAGTCTATGATCAAAAAGTTATCACAATGGCAAATGGAGTTGCGGTGAATAAGACAAACCAGCCAAATGAAGCAGAAATCAAACTTACATATTCAGATACTACAAGCAATACTTGGAACTCAAGTGTTTCATTGAAGTTAGGAGTTTCAACTACCATTAAGACTGGCATTCCAATCATTGCAGAAGGAAATATTGAGGTTTCAACTGAGTTTGAGGGATCTTATGAATGGGGAGAAACAAAAGAAACAAAAAAAGAAATACAAACAGTTTACAAGGTTACTGTGCCACCAATGACTACAGTAAAGGTGAGCTTGATTGCAACAATAGGTACTTGTGATGTTCCGTTTTCATACTCTCAGCGCGATACCCTTACAAATGGACAACAAACCACTTATTATTTGGATGATGGTCTTTATACTGGCATTAACTCTTTTAATTTTAAGTATGAAACTAATGAAGAGAAACTTTGATGGATTTAAAAGTGAAGAAATCTACGGTTATGGTATCCTTACTAGCTACTTATTAGAATAAAGTGGGTTTTATCTCTATCGCAAAGTCCCACCTTGTTTCTTATGCTCATGTAATGTGTTTTGATTGTCATATCAATCTATCTGTTATGTTTGGTAAGAGGTTCCGCTCTTACTATTGCTGGTATGTTTGTTGTAATTTTTATAATCTGATTATTGTAATAAAGTTATTTTTAATGTTATATATCATGTTGAATCACCTTTGGTTACAGAAGTTATTTAAAATTAAATTTATGAATTATTGGGATTTGGAAGATGCTGAGATGAATTATCAGCCATTATCATGACATTAATCTTGAAACTGAGCAAGCTTTATCTAATGCATACTTAATTGAGTATTATTTATATATACAGATAAAAACAAAGCAAATAGTAAAAGTAATGATGAAAATTGCTAAAAGTATAGATAGACCAAATTTAAAATTCACAAGCTAAGTTAATTAATGGATTAATTAGAAATAGAAAAAAAAATAATGAATAAAATTGTTTAGTACTAGAGGCAAATAAATAAATAATATAAATATAATATATATATGTATATATA